GCTAAGGTTTTTTGTGTGTGACACAGCAATCATGGGAAAACCTGCCTTGTCAAAAGGGAAGAAAGCCTTGACAAAAGGCAAGAAGCAATCTGGGTCCAGCACTGACAAAAAGAAAACAGCCTTGTCAAAAGGCAAAGCCAAGCCCAAGGCAATGAAAAAAGTGAAAGCTACAATCAACAAACAAAAGTTGAAAGCCTTGTGTAGCTTGAGTCTTCATGAAAGGGTGAAGATGGCCACAGAAGAAGCTGAGACCCCAGAAGAAGCTGCAGCCACTTTGAAAGAAACCCTCACAGCGCAAGAGCAGCAAAGTGCCTGGGGAAAAATGAAAACAAAGTTGAAGAATGACCCAGAGGAAGCAAGCAAAGTTGCAAAGATGAGCAAGAAGGAAGTGGGGTTGTATGCAACCCTTTGCCTTCTCCAGGAGAAGGCTCCAAAGTTCATGGCTGCAAAGCAAGAACTCACCAGTGGAACCTCCTTGACAAAAGGAGAGACTTGGGAAAGTGAGACCCAAATGCTCCAAAAATTTACAAAAGATGAGTTACAAATGCATTTGGCTTCAGGGAGAATTCTTTGGAGGGCAGACCCATGGACACCAAATTGCTGGCAATACCAAGACCAAGGGGACATCAAAAAGGTTTCCACAGTGGCCTACAACAACAATTGGGCATGGGGGCAAGAGTATTCAAATGGTGATGAGGAAGCTTGGCAAAAGCATTTCAGCACAGACCTGAGCACCCACCTCATGCGCTTGGAAGGCCAGGGAAAAGGGAAAGCTGCCTTGACAAAAGGTGGTGGGAAAGGTGGGAAAAGTGGTGGGAAAGGCAAAGGTAAAACCCCAGAGCTTCTGGCCATTGAAGATGGTGATCCTGGTGATGATGACCCAACTGACCCACCACCTGAGCAAACTCAAGAACAGCTATGGAACCAGTGCTTGACAAAAGCCAGGAGAGCCAGAGACCAATGTATGCAGGCAGCATCAAATCTTGAAGAGGAAGTCAAGAGGGCAAGCAACACAGGAAGGCTCAGCAAGGCAAGCAAAAAAGATGCAGAAGTGTTGATCCAGGAAGCAGAAGACTATGAGAAGAAGTTCAAAGATCTTCTCCTCAAGAAACAAAAGTGGGGGAGCTTGACAAAAGCCAAAAACCTGATCGCAGAAGCCAGCTCCAAGTGCAAGGAACTCAGGGATGAGAAAAAAGAAATTGGTGTCATTGCCAACAAAGCCTATAGCAGGGCTAGCACAAAGAAGTGAAAGAACAGGTACCTTGACAAAAGGTGTCTTCAGCAAAGCCCAACCCTTGACAAAAGGGGTTTGTCTATGATTAGCTGCTTGCCTTTGACAAAAAGGGCCTAATTTTGTAGTTGCACCGACAAATAGAGACCAGCACAACTTGGGATGGAAAAGGTTGCAGCTCTTTGTGGTCTCAGTGCACGGCATGTTGTTGAGTGGTAGGTTTAACTTGTGTGCAGCTTCACTGAGTTTTGTGTGTTAAAGGTTCATTTTGTTTCACAATGTTGAATGTTTTGGCTCAAGTTGCTATCCTTTTCACCCTCATGAAAGGCACCTGGACTTTGATAAAAAGTGTCCATTTGCCTTGACAAAAGGATGCCTAAGAGGATGGGTGAAACAAGAGCAGAGGGCATGATCGAAAAAGAAGTGAAAGCTAAAAGAATTAGAGGGCACCAGCTTGAAATTGAGAAAAGCAAACCAAAGACCTTGACAAAAGGTCAAAAAAGGAGTAGCTTAGTCAACAAACTGTTGAGTTTATGGAGCCATGGAATATTGTCAGCCAGAATGTGCCAAGAATTGGCACACCTGGCTGTGTTGGATGGGGCCCAAAGTGAGGAGCTCTGCATCATGGCAGGGGCTGGTAATTGGGGCCAGGCCCCAGGGAACACACACAGAGATTTCCTAACAAATTTTTGCAGAAACAATGGCTTGACAAAAGCCTTTGAAGTTGAAGTGCCTGTGAGAGATCCTAAAACAAGCAGGGTGGGGGTAGAAACAGCAAGCCTGTTCTTGCCACACATGGTCTTCTCAGACATATCACTGAACTACAAAGAGCAATTCCACAAGATATTTGGCACAGAACAAGTGGAACAGTTCTGGACCAATGTGAGGGCAGCCAAAGACCAAAGGCTTCTTGGCCACCCAATCACCCTTGACAAAAGGAGTGGTGCCTACAAGAAAGGTGTGGTGGACGCTGACAAAACAATTCCATTGTTTTGTCACTGCGATGGTGTTGAATTCCAAACCAGGCATTCCCTCATGGTTTGGAATTGGGGAGGCCTTCTGAGCAGCTTCAGTTCACTAGCCTCCCACTTGCTGATCACAAGTATTCCAAAAAGTTGCACCACTGACATGACCTGGAAACCATTGATGAAATACATCAAGTGGTCCTTGGAGAGTTTGCAGGATGGTTTCCATCCAGCTGTTGGGCCAGACCAAGAGCCCTTGCCAAAAGGGAGTCTTTTTGAAAAACTGGCAGGCCAACCACTCACCTCAGATAATTATAGGGCAGTGGTTTGGTCAATCCAAGGAGGCCATGAAGCATACAGCAACATTTGGGGCTTGGGCCATTGGGCTAGCAAATTCCCATGTTGGGAGTGTGACTGTCAGCAACCCTTGACAAAAGGGGAGCCCTGCCCTCCAGGGAAATCCTTCAAACTTTTGAAAAAAGAAGATCAAAAATTTGTGCCTTTGGGATACAATGAAGCCTTGGCAAAAGGCATCTCTGCCCATGCCCTCTTCTCTGTGGAAGGGTTGAGCCTGAAAATGGTGCGACATGATGGGTTACATGTGCTCTTTTCCAAAGGAGTTTGCTCCCACTTATGTGGGAGTGTACTCCATGCTTTGTGCTTTCTGGAAGGCAAAGGAAAGCAACATGTGAAGCCCAGTGAGCGATTGGCACTGCTGTTTACAGAAATACAGGAAGAGTATAAGAAAAACAAAGCCGCATGCAGATTGACCAATTTAAAATTATCAATGATCACAGACCCAAAGAGTCCACACAAGGACTATCCAGTGCTGCAGTGCAAAGCAGCTGAATGCAAACACCTGATGTTTGCTTTGGTGGGGGTTGTCAAAAAAATGCTTGACAAAAGCAATGAGATGCACAAGCACATGGTCCAAGCTTTGGCCAGCCTAGCTTCCCTTGTCCAGCTTTTTGATGAAGCAGGGATGTTCCTTGACAAAAGGACATGTGGAAAGGCACATGCATTGGCACACAGCTTTTTCCACAGCTACTCTTGGCTGAATGAATGGGCAACAAGGAGTGATCTCTATTTGTTCCATATCACAATCAAGTTCCACATGCTGAGCCACCTCATCAAATGCTGTGAGGACATGAACCCAAAATATACTTGGAACTTTAGGGCCGAAGACTTTGTTGGGAAGATCAGCACATTGGGGGCCAGTGTGGTGCATGGAGTCAAAAGCACCAAGCTCTCCATGAAGATTTGCACAAAGTATCAGATTTTGCTCCACCTTGAAATGGAAAGGCTAGGCTTTGATGCAATTGATCTGGCTCCTGACCCTTGACAAAAGGGTCAGCTTTGACAAAAAGCTTTGGCTTGACAAAAGTTCCAGCTAGACTTGCCAAAAGTCTCAAAGCCCACAAGTGGCTAGCTAGTAACTGACAGCCATGCCCAATAGTGAAAAAGGTCACTCTGGGGCAGCCTGATTTGCACTTGTTTGTTGCGTGTTTGTGTGCTTTCAAACTACCAAAAAAAGGTGTTTTTTGTTGATTTCTATTGATTTAAAAAATCAATACCGTATTGATTTTTTTCTTTGTGAAATCAATAAAAAATATTGATTTCACAAAGGAATCAATAAGCTAAAAACCTTATTGATTAGGATCAATACACGATGCACAGGGCTCCCTTCGCAAGCGACGAACTGCTGCAATGTGGCCCGCAGGCAGATTACCAATATGATCCACACGATCCGGAGGATTGACACTCCGATCAACGTCAAGGACCTGATGGTAGTCCAATGCAATCACCGGATCAGAGCCCCAGTGATTCGGCCTTTCTGCAGCCAGCCTCAACGTATCACCGTTCGCCCACACGTAAAACTTGGCTGAAGACGGAAAATGTCAAGGCCTCTCTGTAAACAATGTCAACTCGCGACCACGGGTGAAGAACGACTCCAGGCGCCGGGTGGTAGTACTTGAGGATGTCGTAAGGCCGATTTCCGGCAGGCGTGTCAACAACACTCGAATCCGCTCGACTCGGAACAGGCCTTGGGGCCGCAGCCAAACTTGACGAGCCAGGCGAATGATCGAAGACGTACGGATTGTAGAGCCTTGAACGCGGCACAAGATGCTCAGCCTGCAACGAAGTCAAATCAACTGCTGATGTATGCGCAACAATCTCAACTTCGTCCGATTCAGCCTCACTTGCACTCGGCTCCCAAAACCTAGAAGCTCCAAGTGGCCTGAACAACCGGGATCGTCTCTCGATCGCCTCCCAAATTGACAATGTACGCTTCCCTGCGTCGCCGGGCGGCAGCTCCTCCTCGAATGCCACGCCTTGGAGGGTCCGGAGGCGTTGGTGGCCTCCTCGGTGGCGGCCCTGGCGGCTCAGGAGGCCGCCACGGTCGACGCAGTGGCGAACGGGAAGGCTCTCGAGGACGCCGACTTGACATGCACGGGTTTTCTGTGGACCCCGCAACCACACTAATGAAAGATGTTGTTGTGTTGTAACAGAAACCGAAAAACAATCAAAAGCCGATACGGCTGATAACCACTTGAACCGTTGAAAAACGGAACACCAACACAAACAACACCAAGAAACCAACTCACAGTAAAGACCGCCGTGTCCGCGAAGTGGCAGCGGCTGCGGCCTTTTTATCACTTGAGCCAAAAGTACAATGTTCATGAACTGTGTCTATACATATGAGGTGCACTTTACACGGGAACCTTCAAGTACTATGAAGTACATAATACCCTAATACCATGTATAGAGTCAAAAGCTTCCGAGCTTGTTTGCAGCCGGAGCGCTGGCTTAGGCAAAGGGTTCATCCAGTGAAGCCTCGGATTCCCGGCTCAGTCTCGTTAGAAACACTACCCACACGTTGGTTGCGGTGCTTGCTGGCAGCTTGCTTGGAATCGTGCCAATGTTTAGGCCTGTTTGAGCTACATAATCTGCATCCTTGCGGTCCAAGTGCCTGATAAGGCCTTCCGAATCATGCTCAAAAATTATCTGGTCCTCCCCTTCCAAACAGGTGCCAGACCTGCCATGCATCATTCAGGCACGATCTGCATAGGGGGACATAATACGAAATCATCCCAACCCTGAAACAGAAACAATTGGCTGGCAGCTGCCACCCTGTCTGTCAGCCCCAGCCTGGCATCACATAAAGCCTGCTTTGGCCAATCTGCCCGAAACTCCAAGCTCATTCGAATGCTCAGCACATATCGTTGCAAGGCTGCACCATTCCTGCCAAGTAGAAGCAGCTTGGCAACTTGCTGTTAAAGGCATTCGGAGCAAGCTGCTGAGATTCGTTGAAAATTAGTTGAACACCTAGTAACACAAATTTGATACATACATATACACACACATATATATATAAACAAAGATATACAGTATATAATTCTAATGTGATTCTGGCCGGAACTGGAAGACATTTTGCTTTTCAAACTTAACTCCAAGAGGCTCGACAGAAGGTCTGGCGATTGAGAAAGTAAGAAATTGGGCCAAATGAAACCTGTGGAGAGGATGGGCAAATCGAGCTTGTGCTATTTCAGCCTCTCTCTCTCTATCTCTCCAGAGTGGGACGTTGATGTGTTTACAGTTGTATATTCACCTGCTTTACGTGCCTTTCCAACAGGCTTGTGCAGCTGCTACAACAAATTGCAAAAAATGCACCTTCTTCTGAATTTACAGGCCAACAGCCTACAAGTACCAACAAGTAGAGCGCCCTTTTCTTGAGCCAAGCGTAGAGGTCCATATGGTATGTACAGGTGTACAATCATGAAAATACACCCCCCGCTGAACGCACTTGGCAGCAAAGGAAGTGAAGGATCCGACAACGTGCATACCTTGAGACTTCCGGTTCCCCGGTGTTTACCTGACGGTCAACACCTGTCGCGCCTATGGCTTTCATAGTTTCTTTGCCGACCTGAGGCGAGAGGGAACAATCATGGAACTCAATTACGACTAAGTCAAAAGCCGAACGGACGATTGCAAATCGGACACAGCACTTTTCACATGCATCCACAGCTCGTCAAAAGTGAAAATGGGCCTTTTACGTAGGCACACGTTTCCACGCGGCATGCTGGTCGATGCTTCCATTTTGGAAGAATGCTCTTCGGCAATTTGAATATTGCCAAGCAAAGATTGCGGTTAGCCTCAAAAGAAGGTTTGCGTTGAGGCTTCTGCTTCCGCAGAGCGTGCTTGGGCTTTCATAGAAGCTCTTTGGCACCACTTCTGGCAAAGTGCAACGACGAACACTAAATGAACTGAAATGCGCAACTACCTTGATGGCACCGGCTTCCGCCGTGCGTATGCGGCTCTTACTGCCCCTGGCGCCACCAGTCTGCGCCGTAGTTGTCATAGCACCAAGTCCAGTCAGCATGATACCATCCCGGGATCGTTCCGGCATCATCGTCCAGATCTTGCCAATTTCGCGCCCATCGATTCCTAAGGTATGGGGCATTCCCACGTGTTGGACGGCCGGCGTGTCACCACGATCCCTTTCCTTTGCCCTTGGCTCGTTCTCATAGGAAGGGATACTTTGCAGATCGGCTGCAAGCCATTTCACGAATTCTTCCTTGAGTACATCGATGTCCTTCTCTTCCGAGAGGAATGAGCCAGAGAATCCCAGGACTTCAAACCTGTTTGCTTCCAATGAGTACTGGCCCACAAAGACACCGGGACGCAGGATCTTGTTTTTCCAAAACACAAAAACCTCATTGGACACATCAACTTCACGTTGGGTGGTGTCTGGGATCATGAGGATTTTGGCCTTGACGTTCACCCCTACGCCATCTTGAATTTGCTGGGCTGTTCTCGTCGGGATTGGAAGTACAGCTGTGCTCAGCCTCTGGAGGAATTTGAAACAATCTGGTGCCATGTCTTGGGCAGCGCAGTTGAATGCGTAAAAGGCCTCAGTGCACAATCGTTCCGTCAATGAGGCATATTCGAGCTTTGCAGCTTTGTCTGTATGAGCCTTTGCGTGCGCCCTGATAGTGACGATCGCTGATTGTCCCGTCCTGACTCTCCCTGCATCGGGATTCCTCAGCCCACGGTCCCCCCGGGCACGAATATCGTCGTCTGGAAACATATCCAACGACAAATCAGCCTGCGGCTAGGTTTTCCAATCGGACAAGGAGCGAAGCTTTCCTCATGTCGGTCGCAACGCGCGCGAGTCGCCCACAGTTCAAACATGACAAACAACCGAACGGTGAGTCCGTTCTGCAGTCTGCACAGAACTGCCCTATAGATCAGCCGAGGTTAAAAAGAACCTTTGAGGTTATGCTTTTGGAATAGGCCTATTCCATTGAATAACCTCAAAGTTTTCAAGTTATCAAATAACCTCAAAAGCAAGGTTATTGTTATAAAT